TGTGTTTGTGTGTGTGTGTGTATTTGTGTGTGTGTGTGTTTGTGTTTGTGTGTGTATTTGTGTGTGTGTGTGTTTGTGTGCTTTGTGTTTTTGTGTGTTTGTTTGTTTGCTTGTTTGTGTGTGTGTGTTTGTGTGTTTGTGTGTTTGTGTGTTTTTGTTTGCTTGTTTGTTCGTTCGTTTGTTTGTTTACTTGTTCGTTCGTTCGTTCGTTTGTTTGTGTGTGTGTCTGTCTCCGTACATGGGTACATGGCAGTCCTTCTTCTTGCGTCGGAGTTCTCCCTCTGGGCACAGGTGGCAGTGAAGGCATTCCCGTCCATTGAGGCAGCCCTTCTTCCAGAACCAAGCACAAGGCCTCGTTCGCAGCTGAAGCCAGCTAGGAAATGCTAGCTGGCATGCCATGCCGAGCACAGACTCTCCAACGACTGGAAAACCCACGTCACATCATTGCCGCGCCGGAGGACCTGCACTCTCCTGTCCCATGCTGCTGAGAGCCGACGGATGGCCAAGACTCCGTGTAACTCACCTGGGAGGCACTGCGGAGTGCAAAGCAATGCCGCAACGCAGGCCGTCACAACTCAGCGAAGGTGCCTTCACAGGAGACCCGTCCATCGCTTGCAAGTCAGCCTGAGCTCGCGAAGGATGCAGAGTGCTGCTCTGCTTTCTCACGAGTCACTTGTCAGATCGAAGAAGCCAGGCCGAGGTGAGGCAACTCAGTAGACGCACAGGCACGGAAGAAGACAACATAGGAAAAGGACGGCGCTTTCGGCTGTCTCGCAGGAGACACCAGCTTATCTTGAGGATTCGGATGCAGTGGGGTGCCCGCTCTCGTATGGGAGTCTAGTAGAGCCTAGTCATCGTATGATAGCCTTCGCGGCCTGCACACAACGGCCCTCTTTCATTGCCGAAAGGACTGGGCTACTCAGCTGCGACTGTGGAGCTTCCAACTTTGCAGTCGCCGCTTGCATGTCGGGCGTGTTTGTCCAAGGCATCGCTCCCACATCGCCTCAAAAGTCATAGCGCAAAGACCGCATGACGCCACTGCATGACCGCTGAGGCTCATGCCCAAATCCATAGCTCCCGGAAGGAAGGTGTCCTTGAGGCGCACAAGGCATCGGTAATCCGTGGAGGCTGGTGCAAGAGACAGCAAGTTCATCTCCGCGCTCGTGGAGCCTGCGACATTTGCTGAAGTCTCTCTTGTGCTGACTCCTCATACTCCTGAACGAGGCCACACGACTATCTGTGGCACTGTGAAGAGAGCAGTTGGGACATGTCCTGCTGTCGGAGCCTCATAACCTTCAGCTTGCGACGGGCTTTCAATTCACCTGAGGTCGTCGGCCCGTGCTCCGAAAAGAGGCTGATTCCTGACGGCTTTTAAGCCAAGACTCCTGGTGGACAGTTGTGGCAGAAGGTGCACGCTGAGCCTTGAACACAAGCGCTGTCCCTAACCACTGTCTCAACTAGGTCCTGTCCCGGCACTTCTGTGTCAATGAACTTGCCAAGCAACCCTTCGAACAGCCCTTGTTGTGCCAGAACCACGCGCATGGTTTGCACTCCCCTGCAGCACAGGGCCGTGGACAGTCCGCTCGGCCATTGAATGCAGGCTCCCAGAAGCAAGAACCGAAGCCTACAGTACAGATGCCATTCATTTAGCATGGATTGTCTTGGTCAATCGCACTTACAAGGGTCACGGAGGGAGAAAAGAACACCCGAGGCAAAACGAGCTTCTCTGCATGGAGGCCTTTGCAAATAGCAAAGCACACTGAAAAAAACTATCCTCATGCCAAAAAACAGCCTCGCTCTTGAATATATCGGCGGCCAGGGTGCCCGTTCCATGGAGCTCAGAGCCAATAGACCCGAAAATTGTTGTGTTTCGCAACGTTTGGGGCACGCCCGGATATGGAAAAGCTTCGCCAAAGCAAAGCGGTTGCTCATCATCACCTTGTCCGAAAATAATGTCTCCACTTCAGCCAAGATCTCCGAGGCCGATGCACTCAGGACTGCACTCGACGCCAATCCGGGAGGCAAAGAGATTGCAAATGGTGTTGCAGTCCTCGGCTGCGACTATGCCCCCTGCTTTGTCAGTCCAATCGGTACCCAGTTGGCCCTCTGCCCACAATCACTTCATCTCCCGCCATCGAATGCCGACGCATTCTGTTTCCTTGGATCGAAATGGCCTGCCTCACCTGGACCTGAAATTGAATCAGCCGATGGACTCAGGGTGCTTGAACTCGGTGTCCTCATGCTGCCTGCGATTTTGGCCATATCACAGTGACGAGGGAAAATCTAAGTCACAAAGACCATCTCCCAAGACTCCGACCGACAACTGCAGCAGTAGTGCTGGCACAGGACTGTGACATCTTCCTACACTATGTAAGCTTTCTTGGCAAGGAACTCTCGTCTGTGCACCTTGATCTGCCCCGACCGTGGGCAACGGCGTGCATGCAAATATTAGATCCCTGAATTGAACTGAATTGATCCCTTATTTGCCTTGCAACTTGCATCTTGTTCTTGCTTTTGGTGTCGCTGTAGCCGCCTGGTCCTGCCCAATCCAACGAGGTTGCGCGAGGTTACTCCCCGCAGCTGAGGAAGCTGATGCGGCATCTCGCAAAGACACGAGAACAGCCACGTCAGATAGCCGCTTAAGTCTTTGCGAATGCGGACAGATCCGATAGCCGGCCGCTCCTTGAGCAGGCGTTTGGACATGGGCGGCTCGTGGTCCGAGTTGAGGTGACGGTCCGGAGGCTTCGTCTCCAGAGCTCTGAACATCCGCGGAGCAGCTGCCTTCGTCGCAGAGCTCTGACAGTCTCTGAAGCTTCGGACAGGCCAGGCAAGCCAGGCAGGCAAGCCAGGCAGGCAAGCTGCCTCCGTCTGTCGTGCACATAGACTGTCCGGTCAACACCTGTGTCAGCTTGCTAGCGCCATCTAGGACTAGCGCCATGCACCAACAAACACCGTCTGGAAAAGCAGCAGAGTGAAGAAGAACATGTTCATGCAAAACTCAAGTGACTTCATACGGCCCATCCTTGCGGATCTCTGCCATTGCGGTTTCGGTTTCGATTTCGGATGCGAGCGCTACAGGCACCAAACCTGCAGTAGACCATAAAATGCCTGCGGTAAAGTTTTGTGCATCGGAACATGGAATTCCAACATGCAAAGTGGCGAATGCAAACGACACCTACTATTACCAAGACGGCTCTGGTCTTTCCAAAACATGTCTACCTACCAGTCTGCTCCGGCGCTCTCGATACCTTCCGAGAGAACTTGTGTTCCCATCCTGGCATTGTCGCTCTTGAGGTCCTCATCGTCAGGCTTCTCTTCCTGGAGCTCCACGGCGGCTTCCAAAAAGTGAGCAGTTTGTCGGCTTACAGCCCATCCTGCAGTCGGGAGAGTACCTTCCTGGCTTCTGACACATCCTCATCCTGGATGCATACCTGTGCTCATAGCTTTGGCATGTGCCCTGCATGGATAGCATGCTTCAGATTCTTGTTTCAAGAGACTTGTAGGCCTGCAGGTTCATCTTCATGCATTCGTATTTGACGGAGTCGTTATTGAGAGCCTGCGAATACAGCATGTGATACGGATGAAAGATTTTGCTTGCCAACTCAGTGAGCAGGATTCCAATCAGCGTGGATGCAAGGCTTCGGCAGCGCCTCGCTGACTGTCAGCACCTCTGCTAGAAGCTCGCGCGCTTCCTTTAATGCCGCCTCCCGGACAAAGGCCGTGGCTGCAATGGCAACAATCTGTAGTACACTTGCAGCCTTTGCTGGCTGAAAACGATGCCTTCTCGGCGTCGCTCGCGGGCTCTGGATTCTCGCCGAATCGCATATGAGCCAGCGACATGGCCTTTGCCAGCCGCATCCTTGCAATTGACAGAGGCAAGGCTGCACCAGTTCATTTCGTCAACCGTCAACTTGGCATGGGACCGGAATATGCAACATGGGCAGTGTAGGCTGCAGAAATTGAGACGGACCAACGTTTGCCCTGCTGGCCTAAGAGTTGCCTGCTCCAGCTGCAACTTGCGATCGTCCTTCTTATCCTTGCAGGAGACGAAATCGATGGGACCCCGCATTGTCGTGATCTCAGACGCTGGCCATCTCTATCCACTTCAAGCCACGCCTGTAGCGGCCTTGTAGCTGCGCTCCGACAGGCCCCCAACAATCCACGATTTTTGCATCACCATGCGCCACTGAGGCGGAGGCGTTCTGCGTTGTAGGCATACTTGTGGACCTGCAGTTGTCTAATGCCGGGCCACACGTATCAATATGCGAATGTTTGCAGCATCCTGCCTGCTCTGCGACATGCGCTTCTGCTCCTTTGGAATCCTGCGAGTACCAGAGTTACGAAAGAGTCCCGTTGACTTCTTGTTTTGGAGAAGATGCAAGCAGCCATATTTTTCCCTGGCTTTGCCATTCAACCCTCGTCCAGGCCTTGTGCGACCTTCGTGCGTGCGTTGCGATTGCTTAGCAAATCGCTCGACACGTCTGACGGGCTGAACCGTGCCAGACTTCGAGTTCTGAGTCGTTTTGCTCGAATTAAACGTCGAAGATTGTGTCAATTCCCACACCTTTTGGTGCCCTTTGGGCCTGACACAACTGTGCTAGTAGGAAACGGCCGCAGTGCTCTCTGGTCTTGGAAACTTTACGGTTTGCATCATGGCAGCACTGGAATCTCAACTCTGCCCATGAAACCTCGAAGGACCTCTGGGCAGGCCGAATTACAACTAACAAGAGCTATACTAGCTATACCTTGGAAACGGCATCGTCTGGAAGTGTCACTCTGACTGTTCTTTCCGAACGCGAGCTCAAAGGCTGTTCCGGCATCTCATTGCTGTCTCCGGCTGCGGCTCTATTGTCTCGGGCCGGCGAAAGGTAGATTTCCGTATCTTTGTCACCTTGACCTCGGTTGCGTGGCAGTGCTCACCGAAAGGTATGCGGTTGTGCTGCCTCCTCTCCACAACTCCCTCGGCACAACCCAATCCAGATCTTTGCCGAGGATCTCCCTTCTGATTGGAGAGGGGTCCAGGGCACAAATTCTTCAAAGTCCTCTCCAGCCTGCTCAGGATCCTGCCGCAATCTGCAGACTAGATGTTGCAGCAGTCCGAACTAAGCCATGGCGGGACTGGGAGCCAGCCCTTTCTGTCTTAGTCGGGAGTCCTCCTCATCAATGTCAAGCTCATCAAACGCAACCTCGCTGCAATCAAGCATCAGTCAACAAGGACCTTCATTAGTGCCGCGAGAGAGAGAGAGAGAGAGAGAGAGAGAGAGAGAGAGCGAGCCCTTCACTGAGTGCAGTCAGGATACACCTTGGCCTGCTTGGCCTGGGCCTCGCCCGTTGGGTGCCCGGCGCCCGTTGCCGCCCGAACTCTTTCGAGCGCGGGGAGGAGGCTGAGGCTGCTCGTTCTCTGCTTTCTCTGCAGCCTCTGGAAATCGTAGCTTTCTCGTGCAGGGAATGAAAGCGGGGCATGCAGCAGAGGGAATGAAAGCGGGGCATGCAGCAGATGTGCCTCGATATCAGCCTGGATGATCTCATCCAACATCGAAGGCTTAACCTCGCCCTGGCTGGCGTTCTCCTGACTTTGTGTTACACTGCTACCGTGTCAAGCATGGATCACCGCTGGCAAACCGTCCTGCTGGGCGGGATCCAGCTTATTTCCTGCAACCGAAGCACATGACTGTGCTCAGTTCCTTAAGATGCTCTGGTCCAGATGCACCCCGCCTTCAGCTGCTTGATCAGCCAAGTTGCTTGTTTCCTCAGCTTGCAAGTCGGAAGAGAAAACCACTCCAAGCCGCAAGCCCCCCGAATATTTCTCACTCATGCACTTTCATGCCCAGCAGTACGTATCACTATCAGCGACTAACGTTGGGCAGGCCACCCGAGCTCCGTTGCGTTTTTTCTTCTTCTTTTTCTTGCCTATCTCCTCCTCGGCGTCACCTTGCCAGCCAAAGGGTGAAGGAGCAAGCAGTGGGTGCTCGCATCACGGGCATACATGTGCGCCTTGGAAAGTCAACAGCTGCCCAAGGAACTTCCGGTCCAACTCCTCCAAGTCCTGATGCTGTGCTTCTGACAAGGCAACACCGCAAATCGCTCTAAGTGGCCGATAATGGTACTGGCGCTGGCAAATCCGTCCTCGTTAGTCAGTTCATTGGCATGAGTAGCACGCAGACAGTTGTGAATCTGATCCAGGGCGCTAATCGAGGGTTAGACTCACACTCAGAGAGCGAAGTTGCTTGCATCATGGTCTTCTCAAAACTACTTGCACAGAGCCTCGTCTGAAACAAGGGCCATGCCCAGCTGATTCGCCATGATGTAGACGGCCATGATGCAGCAGCTTTGAACAAGTGGCTTCAGGACATTGCCAATGATGAGAATGATGAACACCACCTCATCATTGCAGGCACGAGCTGTTTGCCTGACTGCTCGTTGAAGCTGCAGCCCAAACCCTTGACAAGTCATTGGGCAAGCAAACCAACCGCATGTCGGAAGTAGGACAGGCCACGAACATCCAGTGGTCACCATCTTCTGGACTGGATGTCGCCAGAAACTGGATTATGAAGAACCTTTGTGTCTTGTGCGTGGGTCTTGGACAGGTGGGTGGCCAACTATGCCGCGGTGAAGATGTCGTCACGGCTACAGCTCGGGGCATGATTCCGACACTAACAATTGTTTGCTACCCACCTAGTAGCGCAACTAGAAAGATCCCTGACTTCTTCAATCTGGACATGCACTGCAGACAAGCGACACGCTCAGAAGGAACCAGAGATTCATGAAAAACCAGAAGACTCCTCGGTGCTGCCAGGAGGACTTTGAACTGTGGAAGGAAGGATCACAAGCATGGACTGGCCGTTTGAAAACATGGATAAGCCAGTTCTGTCCTGCCTACACTGCATCTTGCGGGGATGAGCCAAGCGTCTCCTTTTGAACCAGGAGCAACAGGCCAAAGCGGCCTTGTTCCATCCACGGTGAAGAAACCGTTCTCGGCGAATCCACAGAATGGCCTCGTGCTCGGGGTGCGGTCGCAAGGGTTCGTGCACAAACAGCGAGGACTGTTTGTAGCAAGCTGCCGAGTAAGGCAACTCCTGTATGATCACGCATACCAAGGCGAGGCAGCTTTCTCGCAAATACCTTCGCACGGTCACAGGGTCACAAAACTTTCTAGGACCCCGCTCACGCGTCACAATTGCTGGCATGTAGAAAATGCATTAACTCGCCTCTGCAAAGGATCAGCTGGATGGCACCTGAGACTGGACAACGCATGTGCTGCTCCGCTACAGCGGCAATGCTTAAGCAGATGCGAAGCCGGGACCGGCACTTTCCAGATCGACCTCGGCTGGAAGGCTGGGGCCAGCATGTGCCATGAAATTGAAATCGGCATCAAGGTCCCAAAGCCCTACGAATAGATGGCTTACATATGTGCTTGGGCCGCTGCCGACCTTCCATCCCATGTAAGAGGAGATCAGGCAAGCAGTTGCAGCTGCCGCCAGGCCCTGCACAAGGGTGGCTGCGACCCGTGCCTTGGCACGACGTGTGGAGCTATAGGACTCTGGGGGTGTCCTCCCAAAAGCCCCTCGAAAACGAGTCAGCCAAGCTGCTGTCCGGGGAAGGGCATAGTTCGGCATGAACCCCACCGCAAGCCGGATCGACATCACAATTGAAATCCGAGCCTGCTGCCATTGTGGCAGGAGCAGGAACTCTTGCACTGCCTGGAATCGAAGGTCAGAGATGTCACGAAAAATATCATGCATCAAAAACACTGCTTTCTGCGCGATGCTTAAGGCGGCTGCAGCCTGGCCCTCTGACTGCAACTCCTCCGATCGAATGTACCGGAAGGCTGCCTGGGCTCCCATGGCGGCAGAGCGACAAGCCCTGGTTTTTCTCGTGGACACCTTGGCCTCCTCTGTGCCGCCGAGGATCCGGTTCTAGCCCTGCGAAATAAAACTTTAGGCTGAAACGGGCGCAAAAGCGGGCGAGAACCTCAGCGATCCTGAGTGCTGGCATATGACTTATGCAGGGTGGTGCAGTGCCAGCGGACAACCTGTGCGCATACACTTCTTGCCCAGGCACGCCTTCTTCCTGGCGAGTGATGAATCTGAATTCACCGTGCTGGGAAAACCGATGTAGTGCGAAAAGCGAGACTGAAGGTGCTAGTGCTGTAATTTTGGCCCATGTCCTGGCTTCGTCTGCATCGGGCTTCAGCAGCAGCCGCAGTTTGTCTTTCCTTTTGTTGATCTTCTCCTCTTCCTGCTTGTCGGTGATTTGCTCCAGCACCTCGGAAACCAGATCTGCCTTGGTGCCATAGCGCTCCATCAAGCCTCGGCGACGCGACGAGGGGTCGAGATCTCTGAGATGGGATGGCATGACATCGTTCAAAGCAGAAATGATGATGATAATGACGATGATTATCACGAAAACATCATCATCACCATTCCCAGACCAGGCGGAGAAATGTTGCCGATAACAGTACAGATGATGCTGGAAAGAAGGGTGGTAGTCAGTGCTTGCGGCTTGACGCTGAACGGCAAGCAATTTTCATGCAAGTTGCTCCTTTTGAGGGCCCCTCCCTCGCCATGGTGCACCTTATGGCGCTGACACGGCAACGTACTGGCAAACCTCCTACTTTCCGGTTTGCATGGTGGAGGTGAACTCCGATAAAACCCAGAGCAGGCAGGAGTCCGAGTTGGCTTCTTTCCGTGCATCACGTATCTGCTCCAACACCTGGGACGACAAAGAACAAGAATGGAGTCCTTCTTGTACCGCTCATGCATGCTTCGCGAATCCGTGATGCTGGCAGCTGAAGTTTCGGCCAAGGTGCCGGAGTTCTGCGGCAGTCAAGCACCCAGGCCAAGAGAATTAGGACCTGAGCATTCCATATGCGTACACAAGTGTATACACCCGTTTGACTACCTGTTGGAATAAACTGGATGGCCTGATGACATAACACTGGTAGAAGGGTAGAAGGAGCAGCGCAGCAGTACCGATAGCAGTAGCAGCGTTGTGCAGATCTTCCAAGCAGGCTTCACCAATGACCTTCAGCCTTTCATGGACAAGGCCGCCCACCGCGGTGATGCCAACGTACACAGCCAAGAAAATAACTCCACCTTCAGTCACGGTCTACATCAGTGAATCAGAACAAATCGTAGTCCGCAGTCCTATCTTAAGGATGTACTTCCCCCACTCTCGGAGTCTACACCTGACAAAGCTGGTGTTTCAAACGGTTGTGAGGTGCTTCTGGAGGGCATATACATGGAAATGCTGCTCCTGCCATACTGGCCAAACTCGCTTTAACTGAGGGATGCTACGATGCCAATGATATCGTCTGGTGCTGGTCAGATGGCCGTCATGGCAACGATGGTAAGGGAGTGGGGATCGGATGGCAATTATCGGGATTGTGATGGTCACAGAGATAAGTGGCACTTTGCCAAGCAACGAGCTAACCAACGGTTGTCTCTGATGGACAGCGACATGCCAGGTTTCCCTCAACGTTCATGTCGATATATGTGAAAGCATGCCTGCAGACGCGAACGTGTCTTCATATGTTACAACATTATTGGCACTCGCACTCGACGGGGTCAGGGGTAACATAGAACACAGACAATTACGCTCTCGCGACGCGGCATCCGCCAGACGAGGTCTCTCCGTCCAACTACGCCACCTCGACTACTTCTGAAGCAGCAATCTTGAACACAGACATTTGCATCTCTGTCTGTACGTATTTATGTATGTATGTATGTATGTATGTATGTATTTATGTATGTATGTGTATGTATGTATGTGTATGTATGTATGAAAACATGTACCAATGAATGAATGAATGAATGAATGAATGAATGAACGAATGAATGAGTAAATAGATACATATGTGTACATAGATACACACATACACATACACATGGGATGCACGTACACATACACAGAGACATGCATACACATACAGGCACACGCACATGCACATACCAAGACACACATACATATGCATATGCATATGCATATGCATATACATATTCATATACACCTATCCATCTCTCTATGTGTGTATGTATGCATAATATTATATACACACATATATGCGCCGTATATATATCTACACTTATTTATGTGTATATATATATATCTATATATATATACATGTGTGCGTGGAGAGATGAAGAACGAACGTAAGCACAAACGATGGCTGGGCGGATGGATGGATGGATGGATAAACAAATAGACAAATAGACAGACAGACAGACAGACAGACAGACAGACAGACACATGTACACGATGCGTTTTCAACCGTTGTCCATTTGCCCGGCTGCTTACTCGTGCCTTTTTCGGAAGTGCGGGTAGCTTCGCTGCGCGACATTATTATGCGAGGAAACATACATGCATGATACGAATGCATGCTGCAGAATCCTTGCATTTCCGTTTCTGAATCTCTGAATTCCTGCCTTCTTGTGTCCACCGAGGTTCCTCAGTACACGCGGAGGCAGGCAAGTGAAACGCTGCAGGTGTTCATCAAGATCTCACTGTTGTTGCCGCTGCGGTTTGAGGTTGCTCCAAGCCTGCAAGCAAGCTTCGGTCCAAATCGGGTGGATGTTGTCGGGATCCAGGAAATTGAGAGTCGATTCGCAGAAGTGGACTTCCAGGAGAAGCTGCCGAGGACCCGGATCCTGACACAATGGAGGCGCGAAGGCCTGTGCCTTGCGCATTTCCTCCAAATCGACACCACATGGCTGCTCTGTGTTGCCTTGGTGCTCACGCCAGGGCCATCTGTGCCGGAAACCTCGAACCTAAGTGGCGATGCACACAGCCACCTCAACCCAAGCCCGAACCCATGATTAATTAGACGGACACTAGCAGCCTTCTCTCTGAAGGACCTGAGAATGAGGCTCGGAAGGACGACCCGCACCGCGCAGTGCAAAGGAGACCTTCCCGCGAGTGCTGACAACATAAGTATCGGTCAATGGGCAGTACCAGTCGTGCCAAAGCCAAGCAGGCTCAAGCAGGAAGACTGCCCTGCAAAACTGCACAGTGGCCTCTTCAGTGCCCGCAACCACGGATGATGCAGCAGCACCTCTGGGAATTACAACACGTGTATATAACTGTGTATATATATATATGTAGCGAGAGAGAGAGAGAGAGAGAGAGAGAGAAAGATATTGTATATGTAAACAAACATCTATCCATATTTGTATCTACCTATTTTCCTATCTAGTTATCTACCTATCCATCTTATTTATCTATTTTCATACATGACGTTGTCTGCTCCTCATCGGTCCCCACTACCGCGAGACTTGCAACACGACGGCTGCCTACCAAGAGGAAGTACAGCAGCCGGATCGGGTAGGCAGCCATCAGCAATCTCACCGGCGCATGTTCTGTTACAGCCTCTGGTCGTCTGTACAACTTGCAGCGTTGAACGAATACCTTGGCGCCCCGCACAACGCAGAGCTGTCATGCAGGTTGGCTATGTTTGGCTACTGTGCCGGTTCGTGGTGAGCCCGCGCCAGCATCCTGATCGCTTGAGCCCAGATCTCGGAAGATTCATGGACGCTGCCGGGCTGTCGGCTTAGCATGAAATGCCTCTGGAAGCTGCAAGGACCTTACAAAGCCGCATTGTGCAAAGGCTTCAGCCTCGGTGGACTTTCGCAAAGTCCCGAAAGTTTCGAGCTGCTTCCTCAGAACCCAACTCAGCTCAAACTACTCAGTGTGACCTCTGTCTGAGGCCAAGACCTTCGGCCATCGGCTTCGTCCAGCCAGGAGTCACCGGTCTCACGCTCCTGGATGAGGCTCTGCCAGCCCTTCCAGCCTTCACACACCAAGCGAGGCCCTTGAGCTACGCTGTCGATTCTGTCACATCTAGGGCAGTGGAGTGCAAAGCCCACTGAATGCGTGGTGGAAGCAATGCCAGATTGCCGCAAGACACTTCTGTACTATGTCTACTTGGGGAGAGCTTGCTCGGGCTGTATGACGGATACCTTGACATGTCGCAAGGGGCGCAGGACACAGCTTCAATTTTCATGCCCGCGGCGACAGGGATGGGTGCATGGAAAACTTCGCAACTCCTGGGCCACCTTCTCGCGTTCACGTGCTTGTCCTCAGGCCCAAGCACTTTGGCTCGGTTGGACCTTTTGCACCCATGTCTTTGCCTGGACCACCACATCGATGTCCATGATGCTGATGAAGGACGTTTTTTCTTAAGACCGCGCTGCTACTTCAGTTTCCAAGCAGTCAGCTCCGAAACAAAAAGCTCGTGTATTCGCTCATTTTGCGCCTCAGTGCATGTGATGAAAGATGTAGACGTGCCAACCAAGCCGCAATATCTGACAAGGCACCAACACGAAGGCAACTTCCTCTCTGTGCAACTCCCTGAACCCGAGCCTCGAGAGACTCGCACGGCGCAAGCACCCCTTTTCGTGCTCAACAGATGCAGCAGCGTGAGGCATCGACTGTTGCATGAAAGAAGTGAGAGCTTTGGAGCTTTCCTCGCCACATTGTCCCATCCACTCCTGTCAGATATAGCATACACACACACACAAGAAGAGTAGATAGCTGCATATGCAACAAAGGCACGGAGAGAACCAGAGAGACAGACAGACAGAGAGACAGCTCTAACGATAGGTAGATAGGTAGACTGGCACATAGGTAGGTGGGTAGGTAGGTCGGTAGATAGAGGGAGAGAGATAGGTCGATGGATGGATGGATGGATGGATGGATAGATAGAAAGAGAAATAAATAGAGAGATAGATAGAGAGAAAAATAGATAAATAGATAGCTAGACAGATAAAGAAAGAAAGATAGACAGAGAGAAAAAGAGAGGGAGAGAGAGCTATATGTATATAAATATATGTATATATACATATACATATATATATATAACTTAGCTGGAGAGATAGATGGATAGCTCCATGGATAGATGGATGGATGGATAGGTAGATAGATAGATAGATAGATAGATAGAGAGAAAGAGAGAAAGATAGAGAGACAGATAGATAGATAGATAGACAGATAAATAGAAGAAATAGATAGATAGATAGATAGATAGAGAGAGGATACATATATATGGTAACCCCACCCCTATTGACCCACACTTCTCGATATGTCTAATCTAGTTACTGTAGTGACCCGAGACAAGCAGATATGTGGGGGCAAGGGT